TATCAAGCCCTTCCTGACATGGGACTAGATTATCTGAGGAATTGTCTTGCTTCAGTGGGAGTGCTTGTCCCACTCTCTGTAGCAGAAGGGTCTTGCTAAAGATCCCATCGGTTAGGGAATTCTAACTGGTGGGGTCTAGGAGAAGAACCATTTCTGCTGTGACCCCTGCCCTTTGGAACACCTTTCCACCAGAATGAGATCTGCTTCCACCTTCTTGGCTTTCCAAAAGGCCCTGAAGACATTACACTGCTGGATGGCTTGGGGCCCTGATGGGAATGCTTTATGCTGAAGGTGGTTGATGCAGTAATAGAGGAGCACCCACCTCCCTACTGCTTTGTACACTTGGTTCTTAGTTTTATCTAATTCTTCTTAAACAAATTATATTTGCTTTAAGTGTATTGTATTGTAAGCTGCCCAGAACTGCTTTGAATAGTGAGAAGGGTGGCATATAAATGTAATAAATGAATATAAATAAATAGAAATTAAGTAAATGAAAAAGTTTCATGAACCAGAATTCCCGTGCAAAGCTGTAGGGTTAGATGAGTATGTCAAACTAAGAATATCACCCCACCATCTTTATTGATACAAAGACCATTGCAGGATAGTTGATTGCAGTGTAGTATTATCAGGTCCAAAAAATCTGTACAACTCCTGGTAATAACTATAGTCATTATACATCATATAACCATCTTGAATAGTATACTTCTCAACCAAGCTTCAAAGTACCTGGCATCAGAGTAATAGAAGAGGTAGGAAAAAAAGGAGCTTGATTGGAAATCTGGAAGGAAGGTTTCTTCATGAAATAAGGATTGAAGCAGGGGTGAAATTCAGCAGGTTCTGACAGGTTCTGGAAAACCAGTAGCGGAAATTTTGAGTAGTTCGGAGAACCGGCAAATATCACCTCTGGCTGGCCCCAGAGTGGGGTGGGAATGGAGATATTGCAGTATCCTTCCCCTGCCACGCCCACCAAGCCACGCCCACAGAACCGATAGTAAAAAAAAAATGAATTTCACCACTGGATTGAAGGACTGAGTTAAGGAGGTCAAGATAAAGATGTTCCATGTGTAGATGAAGATAGCAATAGCACTTAGACTTATATACCACTTCACAGTGCTTTACACCCCTCTTTCTAAGAGGTTTACAGAGCCAGCATATTGCCCCCAACAAGATGGAAGGCTGAATCAACCTTAAGCCTGATGAGATTCGAACTGCGAAATTACAGGCAGTCCGCAGGCAGCGGAAGTAGCCTGCAGTACTGCATTCTAGCCACTGCGTGACGGAAACCAAGTTGTAGTATTTCTTACGTATGAAAACTGACCGGGTCAACCTTGGGCCATTTACTCTCAGCCAATCCCACTTTACATGGTAGTTCTTATAGGGAAAATGGGAGGTCGAAGTATTAGGTATGTTTGCTGCTTTGAGTTATTTATAAAAAATTATAAAGGTGGTATGTTAAGGTATTTAAATTTAGTAGCTAGAGCAGACTTGGGGTTGTGTACTGAGCCAGAACACTCAGTTATAGTTGATTGATTGCAGAGCGCTGGCTCCTGCATGAGACAGTGTGTACTGTGATTGGCTGCTGTGGATGTGGAGGGGGAGTTTCCCCATTTTCCCACCTTTTTCTTCTGTGTGCCCTGGGTGCTCTGTCTTATCTCATGATGCTCCCGTTTTCTGGACTATTTTGTCTCTGTAAATATAGATGTAAATATGCTTGTGTCTGCATCTCTAACTTCATTTGGACACCTTCTGCGCAAATCCCTGACATGGTATATAAATATAAAAGCAGCAGCAACTACTTGTCTTTATGAACCAAAATTGTTCTTAAACAGCATATTCAGGATACTGATGTTTAAATGGATGGTTCCCATCCTCAAAGCCTATGTGTTTTTCCTCAGTGTGATTAAGGTGCTAGACTAGAAACCAGGAAACTGAGTTCTAGTGCTGGCTTAGCAAAAGCCAGCTGAGTGACTTTGGGCCAGGACCTCTCTCCCAACTCAACTTACTTTTCAGGTTGTTATTGTGAGAAAAATAGACTAAGGAAGGAATATTGCGTGTTATTTGCTGACTTGAATTATTTACAAAAATAATAAAGATGGGAAATAAATAAATGGGTACCTTCCAACTTCTTACTTGCCCTCATCACAATTTTGAATTTTTGATTAGCTTTTACTTTGGCCAGAATTGATGCATTGCATTATTTTTTGATTTTTTGCTAGGGTGTTACAAAAATGCCCCTTCAAACCAACACGTATGCCCCTATGAGGATGACTCAGTCCATAAATTGTATGTTCCATTTTTGCTTTATCAACAACAATGTTTTTTCAAACTTGGCAAATTTAAGATGTGTGAAACTTCAGCTCCCAGAATTCCCCAGCAGTGGATTTCTCTTATCCTGCTGCTCAGAAAATCTCTCTTTAGTTCTAAACTGATTACATGTGAAAGTATTTAAGAAAGTGAGCCTTTTGTAAATCATGTATCCCTATGGGCTCAGAGGTTGTATTCAGCCAGTTTGGACAGGTTCAGGTGAATCAGTAGCTCTGACGATCAGTTGTCCCTGCCCCCCCCCCCCCCATCTTCTCCTTTATTTCCTGTTTTCTAGCTCATTTCAATCATGCAGCACAGTTGATTCCCCCCACACCACGCTATTCTACTTACCATTGCTGATTTGGAAGGTAAGTAGCTGAGCTTCTAAATGCTCCATTTTCAGCGCTGTGGACAAGTGCTTTAGACGCACATGTGAAGCACACGCTCACCAAACCATTCGTTAAACCAGCAGCATCCCAAGGCTGTATAGGCTGCATTATGATTGTGAACTTGGTGGAGAATTATGGGAATTGAAACCTTTAAAATGTTTCCAAGTTTGAAAAACACTGAACTATATATGGCCTTTTCTACCCTATCCTGAAGATATATATATATATAAATATGAATATGAATATAAATATAAATATAAATATAAATATAAATATAAATATAAATATAAATATAAATATAAATATAAATATAAATATAAAT